ACAGTATTGCACAGCCCAGGTTTCGTCAGATCACGAGACTTCTTCAGCCGTCGAAATTCCAACTGGAAGTTCTCAGACTACCAGTTAAAGAAGGGGGCGAGAAGATGCTGCAGGTTCTGTGGCCTCACGTGCCTGGGCCGCCCTCCAGGGGATAGCTTCTTTAATAGAGGATGCCTGCAGGCTCCTGCTTCTTCTCAACATGTCACACAGACAGCAGGTGTGGTTCTCGACCATGGCCGAAAGCTACGAGAAAGCTTTTGACATGTATGTCGGGGTGAGCGATCCCCAGAAGCTGAACTCCTTCTGGACTGCCCAGTTGCAGGGGTCGCCATATCTAGGAAGCAGACCAGAGCTCCTGCAACAGATCCAGCAGGGATCTCGACCTCTGCCTATGGCATTGCATGGCGACGGTGTGTCTGTCACCGGCTTAGGCAAGACCTGGCAGAAAGGAATCGACGCCTACTCCATCTCCTCAGTTCTCACTTTCGGTGACACTGGCCACTATAATCAGGTGCTGGCCATGGTTCCGGGAGAATTCAAGGAACATGAACCCGTGCCTCAGCAACCTTTATGTGAAGAGGTCTGGTTTGCACTCCAATGTTTCGGCTTGCACTTTCCCTGCAGCCACTGAGGCCATGGCTCGCTTTTACCGGGCTTTGAAATGGAGCTTCGAGGCTTTGGCGACCGGACGATGGCCTCGCAGCGACTTTCAAGGCCGTCGCTATCCAAGAGGCTCTTGGGGAGCCCAGATGGCTGGCAAGAGGTTGGCCCAGAAGCATACCGCAGTGCTCTTCTGCTGCAAGGGAGACTTGGATCACTTCTGGAAGAGCATGCAGGCTCCCAGCTTTCACAGCACATCGCCGTGTGCCCACTGCAATGCAGATCGGGACCAGAGTCCTTGGTGGGATCTCCGTCCCACGGCCCGGTGGAGGCAGCAGCCCAGATCCCACCCGCATCGCATGGAGCCTGTCAGGCTCTGTCCGGACTGGATGCACAGCAAGCACCTGGGCACCGATGCTTACATCCTGGCTTCGGTGCTGGCCATAATTGTTTTTCGGAAGATGTGACTTGGCAAGGTCTTC